AGTGTTTGGTTGCGTCTTACACACTCCCTACTGGGGACTGGACCCACAACCCAGGCATGTGCCCTGACTGGAAATTGAACTAGCGACCCTTTGGTTCACAGGCCTGTGTTCAGTCCACTGAGCTACACCAGCCAGGGCCATGTATAATTTTAAATTCTCTAGTAGCCACATTTAATAATACAAAAATAAACAGATGACATTAATGTTTGTGTAACCCATTATATCCAAAATAGTACCATTTCAACATATAATCAATAAAAAATATTAATGAGACATTTTACTTTTGGGGGGAGGTATACCAAGTCTTTGAAATCTGGAGGTATTTTACATGCACAGCACATCTCAGTTTAGACTAGCCACTTTTCAAGTGCTTAGTAGCTATGTGTGGCTAGTGGCTACTGTATGGGACAATGTAGTTCTAGATCCATTCTTGACCAAAAAGTACAGGTTGCTCCAACATTCTGCACCATTTGAAGGTGTCTTTTCAACATCAAGTAGTTTATGTGCTGCTTATTTTATTGTCTTGTCAAGTATGTTAAAGAGGTCATTCTTTTCTTCATCTTTTTCCTAATTATAGTGATTTTGTCTAGTAAAGATCTGTTTATCAATTTTCATTGCCTTTGCTTTCTTCTACAGCAATTTATAGTAATGGTCTTATATACTAAAACAATAGCAAATCTTTGAATTTTAGTGATTTTGTTTTTAATTACAAAAATACTACATTTATGGCCCTGGTTGGTATGGCTCAGTTGGAGTGGTATCCTGTAGACCGAAGAATTGCAGATTTGATTTCCAGTCAGGGCTCATGCCTGGGTTGCAGCTCTGGTCCCTGGTTGGTTGGGGATCGTACAGGAGACAACCTATTGCTGTTTCTCTCCCCCTCCCTCTCCCTTCTTTCCCTCCCTCTGAAGTCAGTAAGTGTGTCCTTGGATGAGGATGAAAATAGTAACAAAATACTACATTTATGGTAACAAATTCCAACAATAGGTATATGTATAAAAAGTTAATAATTCTTAATTCTTTTTCCTTATTTTTTCACTGTCCCAGTTTTAACCACTGTTAGGAGTTTAGATAATAGCCTTTCTCTACTTAGGATATACATTTATGAGAAATTCTTATGAAATGAGAAAATTAGTACTCTGAAAATACCTTCATTAAAATGAAGACTAAAGTTTTATAGTTATTAATGAAAAAAAGATTTGTTATGGACAATTTTCTGAAATGAAAACATTTACTATATATGTAATAAAATTTATGTTGTAATTACAGCTGTGTTAATTCTTAGAATTAACAAAGAATGATGTATTTTCTTGGTATAATTATTCCACTAAAATTGTGGGATATTCCAATAGCATTCTTCACTTTGTTTGATTTTCTTAGGATTTATCATATAGACTAGACTAGTGCATCAGTTTTACCAAAACTATGGGAACTTCAGCAATTTCTCAAGAGATTTTTCTTACTCCCTTGACATTTTCTTCCTTGATTCTTAGTCTGTTGTCATCCTTGCTGGGTTTTCCCTTCTTCAGTCATTCACTGGTTTGATTCTGCCAGGTCATTATTCCCCAGGGGTCTTGCTGTGAGATGAGCACTTTTTTCAATATTATTTTCATAGACTTCATGAAATCCTCGACTCTTTTCAAGTTTTGCATTTTTCATTTTACAGTTGAGTTGCATTGTGTTTACTTTGTATTACTGGATTTTTATCACAGTAGACTATTAGAGACTGATGGGAAAAGCCAGGATACATAGTTGAAGTAGATGTTAGTGTCAAGTAGAACTGGATTCTGTATTACAAGGGCTTTTGATTCCCTATGCAAACTTGTAACTTAAGGAACTCAACAATGGCTAACTTTATTGAGACTTTCACCGTGACTGGCAAGTATCTGTACATGCATTATTTTATTCAATCTATTTAGTGTCCCTGTGACATAAATGTATTATTATCGTCGTTTTATACTTGAGTGACGCTTAGAGTCGTAACTTTTCCCACAATAAAGTTAAGTAATATGTCTGAGGTCAGAGCTAGTCAAGTCTGGAGCTCTGTTTCTGACTCAGAAACTACAGCCTGTACTTGACATCACACTCATGTGAAATACACATACACTTTTGTACAAAAAAAAAAAAAAAGAATTGGATCATAGTTTTTTTTCATTTAGGATTATGTTTTGGATATTGGTCCACTGTATGGATGAGCCATAATTTTAAGATATTACTCCTTTAGATTGTGTATATTTTTTGTTTATTTTTTATTTTACTAAGGTTGCTTTTCCTGGTAACTAAAAGGCTTAGATTTTAATAACCATGTGTGATATAGGAGTGGGGGCATTGAGCCTGGGAGCAATGAGTTGGAAACTGAGTTCACCTCTCAGAGCCTTAAATCTCAAAGCATTGTACCCTCAGTTATAGAAAGAAAATACCGAAGCTTGTCTGTTTTCACCTGGGTTCTGAGTGAAGGAGAAAGTTTCCTGAGATTTTGTAACTATTGTTTTACTCTCCTGTGAGTTTGAGTTTCATATTTACAGTTACTGCATGGGTCCAGGCCAGAAAACCTCAAACTTAAAAATTAACATTAATGCAGAACCATTCCATAGAGGAACACTTGTCTGGCTGTATGGAATTACCATTGCTACTGACAATTCCCCATTGATGTTGAGCTCACTACTCAAAGTTATAAAAAAAAAAAATTGACAGTGCCTAAAGCAAAAGTCAGAGAGACAAGAGACAGCAGAGTTAAATTCTCAAGAACTTTAGAAAGTAGAACTATTAAATGATAAGTACTTAGTACTTATAAAAATCTAATTATAAAATTAAATTTAAAATAAATGCCACAGTTATAATAATAAATATAAATAATAAAACAAATGTTAAAAATATTAAAGATAAAAGAAGATAACAAATATAAGAACAACAACAAAACTTAAAATATATAAGACCAAAGAGATCAGGGCAGGGTAGGGGACAAATAGGACTTTAGTCACTAAAATTTAAAAACTGAATGGCTAGGATAAAATGCAAAGTAGACAAATGTGAAGAGAAAACTGGTGATGTTCTAGATAAATCTGAAGATACTGCCCTGAATGACTAGAACTGGTCAAAGACTCAGAGCTAAAATACTCAAAATAGTGTTGCCCTAGTAGAGAAATAATGCTAAACACACAGTAGACACTTGAAAACACCAAGTTTTTAAGAGACTATCTTGAGAATCATTAAAGAGGAAAAAGAGATACCTGCAAAAAGCAATGACAAGCTGACAACAGATTTTTTAACAGTAACAATAGAATAAAAATTTATTAAAGGATGGGAACATTTATTAAAGGATGAAAACGAAGTACATGTGGCTCAGTGGACTGAGTGCCAGCCTGTGAACCAAAGGGTCAAAGGAAACTACAGGGTCATCTGACAAAATCGGAATACTTAAGTTAGATTTGATAAAAATGTCAATGTTAGATTTGCTAATATTTTTAACTTGTAATTGTATAAAAGGATATGCCTATTTATAAGAAATATACTCTGAAGTATTTAAGGGTAAGGGTCATGATGCCTGTAATTTGTCCTCAGAAGGTTCAGGGGCAAAAATGTGTGTGTGTAGAGAGAGGGGTGAGAGGAAACATGCATGGTTGCAAAAATGATACAGCAAAAGAAGTAGTTGTATAGGTAGTGATAAAACCACTTAGGACATTGTAAAAAAGTTAAAACTTTTAAAAGTGAGAAAGAAAAGATCAAGTGCTTTTAGTAAATACCTGGGTGGGAAAGTTTTAATTGTAAGACACATTTTAAAAATTGCATATGACAAGCATCCCTTCTCCTAATATTAAAGGCCTTTCATGTCTATATTTGCAAAAGAAATTTGTAGGAACACAACAGGTCTTTACATTGAATTGGCATTATCTTGAAAGTCCACAGGATGGGGATGCTCCTTTTTTGTGTGTCTGAGTTATATGAAAGGATTGTCACAGCCAGTTTTGTATTGGAGCATCTCCCACTTGACTGAGAAAGGTGATTGTTAAAATTTAGGAATTTTGCAAACTGATTGTTAAACATAGCTGGTATTAACAGTTAAATTGCATAGCTTACTATTAATAGATGACATTTATAAAAATTGTAAATACTCAAAATTCATCACTTTATAGTTATTTTACTACATAATACCATGATCAATGACCTTGAATTATTTTTGTATATTGTACCTTTATAGTTGAAATACTATATCATGTGCTACTGTGAATCTTTTCCTGTTATTGTGTTCAGTGGTATCACAGTGGTATCTTAAAATTAGCCAAGGTGGGAATATTTACACCACAGAATTTGGCAAATGTTTTAAATCCAAGCTTGATAATTGTTTATTGATTGCCTAGACTTTAAGTGATGGAAAAAATGACAATAATACAAACTTAAATGTGTCCATGCCTTTAGTTATTACATTGTGCATAGCTCAGAAATTGAGGATATATTCTTCGATTCAAAAATGATTATCACTTCACATTGTTAATATTACTGGCATAACAAAAATATCAACCAGTACTCCAAACTAGACTTGGAAAGCCAGTTGCTAAACATTTACATTTATGCTGCTGGTCATGGTATACTTGAATTTAGTGTTTTGGTAGGAAATAGATAATAGTATAAATTTATTATTTTGTTATTCAGCTCTAGGAAATTGTATCATGACAATATGTGGGCATTAACTTAAAAAAAGGAAGATTGGGATTTACAAGTTATTAGCTGTAGCACATAATAATGTTAAATTTGAAGCCTTTGATATATGTCTGTTGCAGATGAGAAATAGAAGTGTAGAATTTAGTTTTAAGAATGCTTAAAATTAATTCAGAACAATCTATCGTACAGACAGAAATTCATTCACAATGTATTTAAATGATTCTAGATACAGAGTTTGTTACCTAAAAATAATGTTGGAGAACTCCAGAAGCAGAGTTCTTTTTATATTGAGCTAAACTTTTTTCTTTTCTTTTCTTTTCTTTTTTTTTAATTTCTACCAGTTGGTTCTGGTACTGCCTTCTAGAGAAATACAGAAGCATAGAAACCTAGAAGAGAATATTTGTTCTGTCTATCAGATATAAAGGTAACTGTAATATTTCTATTTACACCTCTCTGGGCAAGAAGCAGACAGCAGACTGCTTAGTTCCTTTAAACATACATTGTATCGTATATTTTCTAGACTGTAATCGAAGACTGTGTTGCCTTTCTGAACTTCCACATCACTATAGTTTGACTCCTACTGACTTTGTAGATGAAGTAAAAGCCTTTAGATTTTTTTGTGTGTGGGAATTGTACACAAGTCAAGTCTTCTGTGTTAGATTCTTTTTAACCCAAACACCAAGCAGATCTTGGTGTTTATTCATTGTTTTGTCTTCATATTACTTTCAGCACAGCATTTCAAATTATAAAAATGATATTTAATTGTGACTTTACAATTTTTGGTTTCTATTAATCCTGTTATGTGTCAGTTGCATATTTGATAAGCACTCAATGTCTATTGTTTACAGCCATATTATTGTTTAAAATATTGAACTTCAAAGGGCTATGGGGGACATAGTTCTCCTTTAAATAACCTTTTCTAAAATTTTCTCTACCCATTATCATTACTTTTTGTTTGAGTACACCTATCACTTCTGTTAAATAGATCATAGTTTACTGTCTTACGTACAAAAGTTCATCATAATGTATTTTGTCAGATGTTTGCTAACTGAGATCAAGATATACTGTGTCATACTTACCTGGCAGGGGAGTTACCATGATCACAAAGGTGGCTTTCCCAGGGAAAGGTTTATCTATTGCACTTGGGATGTGCTGACTCCTGTGACTTCCCCAAGTGTGGGAAACTCAACTGCATAATTTGTGGTAGTGGGAGGTGGCATTCATGCTGTCCCCTAAAAATAAAAGATACACTGTCTGTGGCATCTCCTCCAATGGAGTACACATTAGTATTTTTGTCTTTGAAAAGTAGGCATTTTTAAAAAATACTGGCATGGCTCAATGTTAAAGTCATATTCTTACACAAATGAAAAAAAATAGAAAATCTATGAACATTGGTGGGCTAGTTAATTAGGACATCAAAAGATAAAAGGGAAATGAAGAAAACTCAGGATAGTTGGTGCTCAGGGTCATGGTATATATCTGGACTGAAAAGAAAATAGCCTGTGTTGCCCTGGATGGGTGGCTTGATTGGTTGGAGCACTGTCCCATACAACAGAAGATTGCAGGTTCGATTCCTGGACAGGGAACATACCTAGGTTATGGGTTGATTGCTGGTTGAGACACTTATGGGAGGCAACTGATTGATGTTTCTTGCTCACATCCATGTATCTCTCTTTCTCTCCCTCTCTCTCTTTCTCTCTCTCAAATCAATAACTATATCCTAGGGTGAGGATTAAAAAAAAGAAAACAGTCTGGGCCTTGAGAGCAGAGTTTTTTTTTTTTACCTAAGGAAGTGTATGTATTCTGAATCAGGTAAAATCTTAGGGATCTGGAAAAGAGTGGACAGGATTTGTTGGCCTTTCTTTTCCTCTTATTATCTCTTTCCTTTGAAATGTACATGGTGAATATTAACAACGGGCAAAGTGAAGAGTATATGGCTAGTGTGTGTGTGTGTGTGTGTGTGTGTGTGTGCGCGCGCGTGCGTGTGTGGGCGCACGCGCGTGCGACCTCTTATTCTTTTTGCTCTGAACAAACTAATACCTATTTCACTTTTTTTTTTTTAAGATTAAAAGAATAGCCCTGGCTGGTGTGGCTCAGTGGATTGAGCACGGGCCTGCAAACCAAAGGGTCACTGGTTCAATTCCCAGTCAGGGCACATGCCTGGGTTGCGGGCCATGTCTCCGTTTGGGGGCACATGAGAGGCAACCATACACTGATGTTTCTCTCCCTCTCTCCCTCTCTTCCCCTCTCTCTCTCTAAAAAAAATCTTAAAAAATAAAAAAATTCATAGTTAAAAATATAACTGGTATGAATTGTGTAGTACATTTCCTTATATTTTGTAGATAGTAGATGAAGGTTTATTTAACCTTTGTTAAGTTTTTCCCCTTTTTAAATTCCATTGAGTAACTTATGGTAGAGCTTGTCAGGGAGTTAATAGTGTGAGTTGTCTCATCACATTCCTTGGCCTCCACCCTCCTTCTTCCTCCCCAGACCTGTTTTATTGCTTCTGGAAGAAAGAAAAATTTATAGTAGGTCACTTGATTAAATAGTATTAATAGAATAATGACTTTCTCTCTCCTACTACCTTTTCTTCCTAAAAATCATAGTTCAGAAGTAGTCCCTGATTCGTTGCCTTATTTTCTAGCCCACATTCAATTTATTCCCATTCAAGTTACTCTTTAAAAATTTTATGTGTATAAAAATAAGTTGAGCAAATGTGTTTTTAGGGTTGTCCTTGAATATACTCTTCAATGAAAATTCTGAGCTCCTAGAATATGGAGATTGTTATGTTTTTTGAGTACTTGATAGGTGAAAATCAGTGCTCTAATAATCTATTTTAATTCAGCCTAAGACAAGGCTACTTGTTTAAAAAATAGAGAGCACTTGAGAGGTTGAGAGGTAAATGATTTGGGGAATATGAAGTAAGAGGACACATGGATGAAATTCATGGGCTCATGAATTATTTTGGAATTTACTTTTTATTAGTTGCTTACCTAATGCATGAGTTATTTTATGGCATATTTTCTTGTTTTCAACTTCAGGGTTTCTATAGGATGGATTAGTAGGACCTCTACTTACTCTTTAAAAATCTCTTGGTTCAATACATTGTAATTAGTTTCTTGTGATTAAATCAGTCTCTCTTTCTTACAGATTGAGGTGGTGCCATGCAGCAAGAAGCAGCGAGATGCAGAGTTCGAACCAGAAGGCCTGACATGGCACTTTATGTTCCTAAAGCTCGAAGGGGTGTAGTACTACTCAAGGCAAGGGATGAGGAAAAAAACTGTGATCTACCTAACTCTTTGGTGAAAGAAGAACAAAAAGAAGATTGTCTCTCTCAAAAGGAGATCTTCAGAGATAAACCTAAGGCTCAAAGACTAAGTATTTATCCCAATAAAAAGGAGTACAGTCATAGAGAAGGAAAGAAATCTTCAACAAAATTAAGAAAAGACACATGCCTTCAAGACAACAATAAAGATAGGGTTTGTACTAAGAGGGGAGCCACAGAATCCAAAGAAATATTACCCCAAGAACATCAGCAAGGAGTGCTAAATTCTGGGACTGTACCTAGTGAACTTTCACAAAGACATTTTAAGCCCAAAAAGGAGGAGTGTTTGGAGGTTGAAACCACAGGTGTGACAAGACATGAGAGGTTGCTTCTATCTCAGTCTTGTTCAGAAATTGGTGAGTCTTCGATTCTAAACAGGCCATTCCAAAATGCGGAATTCTGTGATTTCAGTAGGCCTGAACTAAATGGGGAAACATTTGGAAACAGAGGTTTAGAAAGCAGGATTGAAACTGATGCCAAGGTTGTGGAGATACAGCCTCAATTCCCTGAAGTACATAATTCTGTTTTGAGACCCGAGAGTATGATCGGACCAGCAAAACTAAGCTCTGATCCTGGAATTGTGCAACAAGGCATACAAACATCAGGTGGAATGTTGAAGCTCAGCAGTGGAGGCATCACCACTCTTCCTGTTCCTGGAAGCCCAGAGGGTGTCACTAATCAAACTTGTGTAGACTTTGAAGCTGAGAATGTTGGTGATATAGCCAACAGTACAGATTTCACCTTGGATCAGAAAGGTATAGATTCCATTCCTGAGACAGTGGGTCACATCTGTCATAAAATGACTTTAGTCAACAAGTTAGAGAGCACAAATGGCATTTTTGATCCACCAATGATTAGAGACTGTGAGGAGAATGACAGCACTGCTAATGAATTATGTGTAAAGTATGAACCCTCTGAATCAGCTGCCCTTGCTCATGAAACAGACACAGGTAATGGGTTTAAGAGTGTAGGTGACATTACAAGTAAGACATGTATGATGGACATTACAGATACCATATCTGACCAAATAACTATAGACAATCCTTGTGTTGTTGCAGTTAGAGTAGCTGATGAGGCCTGTAGCAACACAAGTAGTTTCTCAAAATATTTAGAAATGAGTGAAGGTATGGCCCCTCTTCATGTAGCTAGAAGTGGGAATGACACTGAAAATTTCAGCAACCTGACTGCTTGCTCAGATATTTATGCTGAGAGTATTTCATCTAGTTTCACCGAGTCAACAGGAAAGTTGATAGAGAACTCGTCAGATTTTGCTTCGGCCTTGCCCATGAAGAAGATTGCTGGTAGTAATTGTAACACCTTTTTGGACTCTGAACTCAGTGTGTTAAATGGGACAAAAGTACTTTCAGATAGTGCCTTGGGCAATGATCTAGATTGTACTGGTGATATAACAGAGGCATTGCATGAACTGAAAACTGCTGAAGAGTTCAAATCAAAAGAGGGAGATGACTCAGAGAATATAGAACTTGGTGTATCCTTTCCTGATATAGAATCAGTTTCTATAGAGACATCCATGAACCCAAAAGCTACTGAAACTTCTCACGTGGAGGGAAGTGCTGCTACTGAGGAGAGCTGGGAGTCCATGTTTAATGATGATGGTGACTGCCTGGATCCACGCCTTCTACAAGAGGTATGTGTAATGGAAATTGCTTGATGCTTTGATAATTTGTAGATTCATAGAACTTTGGATTTGAGGGGTAATTTTATAGACATTTGTGTACCTTCACAAATTCACTCATTTATAGCCAGTGTAAAGGTTCCTGCAATAAACTTCTAGGATTGTAGATTGAGAAAAGAATATCTGGTAGATCTGTAAAAAATAAAACATACAGAATTGAGCGATATCTGTAATAGCCAAATCCTGAGTGATCTTGGTGAATAGATTAAAGATGAATTTAGTGAGTACTGGCTGTCTGTTTAGGAAGTACAGAGGGAAACTTCTTCAAAGAGGCTTTTCTGTGTTGACAAGATGTATTTTACACAGGCCTATTTGAGGGAAGGAGAATAATTTATTATTTCATTTTTCTAGTCAATGTTCAGATATTTTTAGACACAGCAGAGCAAAAGAAATAGAGAAGAGTGAAATAAAGGAAGATACTTTTTTTTAAAGTAGTTTATGCTGAGTAAAAGAATAAGTGATTATTGAGTCTGTATAGAAAATATAAGTGAATAATGACATGCTGGCTCATTAGAGTTCATAAATACAAACTTAAATTTTTGAAGGCCTCTTATAAATTATTTAGTTCAATCTTTTCATATTCTTTAGACCATCAACATTTAAATTCCTTACTATAAATAAGGACCACTCCCCTTTTATTCCTTATAGTGGGTTTGTATAACCTTTTCCTGAAAAGGAAAAAAAAATGATTTCCCTATAAAACCTCTAATTTTATAAATGAGGAAATTAAAGCTTGGTGGTCATATCTTTAGGAAAGGCAGAAACGGGATTACAGTCCAATTCTGTTTTAATCCAATGTTTATGTTCTTTCTACCAGACTACTTCACCTCTAAAATAGAGTTCTATTTGAGTAATTCCAAAGAGGCTTTTAAATAAGTGATGAGTCTTTTGTTTCTGAGAGTTAAACCATAAGCATGGAAAAATCGCATGCATGTGAAAGAGACACATAAGACTGAAGAGATCAGCCCATTGGACAGAACTGACTTTCTGGTACCAAGCAGTTCCTCCTCACTCTTAGGAGGTATTGGCATGCAAATCTACCAGTACCAGCACTTCTTATAGTCAAATCAGGAAACCCTGTGTCCCAAACATTCCTCAGAAAGATACAGAGAGCAGAAAGTATCTATAGGTGGACATTCATGAACCTCTTGAAGATGCATGAAAATTTTTATATGTATGTACAGTTCTTCATAGCTTTTATCAGATTCTCAAAGGGAATGGTTCCCATAGTATGGTTCCTAGACTAGCAGCATGAGCATCAGTTATATTAGAAATGCAAACTCGTTAGCCCAGCAGTGTGTATATTTACAAGTTTTTCAAGTGATTCTGACTCACATAAGTAATAGTACAGCTCAAAGGTAAAACCCACACTTAAATATATCAAAAAGTGAGTGTGGTAACTAGAAATGGCTGTCAGCTCATAATAAGAAAAAAACAGTGTTCAGCAGAGATTTTAGACTCAAATTAGATTCAGAAATACCAATAATGGGGGAAGTTGGATGAGTATATAGAATTTATTAAGGATTCAAGCATTAAGAAAATATTTTAATCTGAGACAGAAAGGGGTGTTCACAGGAGTTGGAAAAGGGGCTGACTGCCTAAGTAGGGTAGAGAGAGAGAGAGAACAGTTTTCTACAAAAGAAGGGCATGGCATATAGAGCCCGTTACACATGGTAGCTCTTAAATATTCACTGAGTGGATGTAGGTGATAGGGCAGTTAGAACTCTCTTTTCAGGGTGACCTGCATGTGCTTTCAAAACATCATTGCTGCTAGAACTTGGGTTCTGTGTGGTAGCTTAGGAATATGGCTTTTGTATTGAGGGGGGAAGGGTTCTGGCGAGTAACTAGATTTTCAAGTCTTAATACTGTTTAGGTGCAAAAGAATTTAGGCACTCACTCAGTATTTTGAGGAGCATAGTACTATAGCCAAAGAGGACACTAGTGTGACCAAAAGCCAGGAATGGCAGGAAATGGAGTATGTAGTGTTTTAACTGAAGACAGCCAGTGTTTGGGTGTTGTGTTTGGATATCTTTGCAGGTTCTTAGTGTAGAGAGTGAGTCTATGTTGAGGGATGAGGATGGATGAAAGGAAGAAAGAAGGATATGGATTGAGAATGTTGAAGTGGATCCAACTTTAAACTTTGGTCTCATGTACTTTGGGTATTAGAAGATGTAATAATAATAATAATAATAATAATGTTACTTAAAAAATATCACAATTCCAATCATTAATAGTCTTTTGGTGACTGTTAACACTTAGTTTATTATTTATATTACTCCAAACATACTTCATTAAAGGCTAAACCAGAGTGTCTGCCTACCTTGAAAACTTTCCAAGCAAAGATTTTTGGCTCTTTTTCCAGCTTGCCTGTTTCTTTGTTGACAATGGCTAGACATATGGAGGTTTGTCTAATACTTCTAATAGGCAGAAAAGTATGCTGTAGAGCCGGGTGTGGCAGCCATTGGCATGTGAAGCAGTTTCCTGTGACGTTTGAACCTCTAAAACTGACTAACTAGTGTAGAGAGCATAGCTAGGTTGTTATTGAAGGCCTAGTACTGCAACTCTTGATAAGTCTCTGTAGATTGCACTTAATTTTCTAAAGCTATGGTATGGGTTGTCCAGAGACTTAAGTTGGTAATTGATGCAGAAAGGATGTTGGCATGACATCTTTTAACCCTCAGATCTTGGTACAAGAACTAAGGAATTATTATTGTCTGGATAAAACTTCTACAGCTCCTGTGCCTCTGCTGATCAGCAAACTTATTGGTAGGAGGGTTAGTAAGATACCAGAAATGTAACATTGATGTTGATAGGCACTGGCATCTGGTCCCTTCACTGGCCATGTCTGGCCTGGATTTGAGTATGTAGATGGGAATAAATAATGAAAGAGCCTCTTTTTGTTACATAATGTATACCATGTATAAAAATATGTAGGAATGGAAAAGAGAAAAGTAAAGAATATTACCTATTCCTTCTGCTTGTGCTCTCCATTTTTATATAGGCAATCCAAAATTGGAAGGGGAAATTCATAATCCACTAAAAACAAATTATATGAAGTCCAAAGGGAGTAAAGTCCTTCATATCCCACCCTTAGGGACCTCATTACTAGTTGGTAACCCATCACTTTGCAGTTAAATAACAAATGTTGAGCACTTAGAGTTTGATAAACTATAAATTATAAATAGCTAGATATGTGAGGTCTGTCTAGAAAGTATCCAGCCATGCACTGTGAAAAATAAGAGGTTTTTGTTGAAGAAGATACAAGAGAGAGTTCCAGCCAAGATGGAGGTGTAGGTAGAAACCCTTTGCTTCCTCGCACAACCAAGAGGAGGATAACAACTAATCTAAAATCAATAAACAACCAGAAGTGCCAGAAAATTAAACTGCATGGAACTCTGACAAGCACAGAGTTGAAGAAATAGTCAACCAGAGCAACCAGACTGGTAAAGTGTGGATGGAGAGAACTCACGTGAGACAGTGGACTGTGAGGGTGGGGCTGACTTAAGGGGAAACAGATTCAAAGCTGGCCGTGGACCACAGCGGTTGTTGCAGTGGGAGAAACTCCCAGTCTCACACAAGACTTCCTTGAAAAGTGGGTTAGAGAGTAGTGGAGCTGCACTGTTCCCTCTCTGGCCCCTCCCCCACAAGCAGTGCTGCAGCTCAGCAAGGAGGATTGCCCTATCCTGGTGAATACCTAAGGCCCTGCCCCCTTACAACTTAACAGGTACCCCGAACAAAGAAATAGGGCCAAAATGAAAGAACAGAGCGAAACTTCAGAAAGAGAGCTAAGCAATGAGGAGATAGTCAACCTATCTGATGGAGAGTTCAAGGCCCTGGTAATCAAAATTCTGACAGAACTGGTTGAGCTTGGTTGAAAAATAAAAGAACAAATGAAAGATATCCAAAATGAAATAAAGCAAAATATTCAGGGAGCCAACAGTGACAGGAAGGTTACCAGGACTCAAATTAATTTGGAACAAAAGGAAGAAATAAACATCCAACTGGAACAGAATGAGAAACAAGAATTCAAAAAAATGAAGAGAGACTTTTGAACAACCTCTGGGACAACTTGAAAGGTTCCAATATCCGAATTATAGGGGTGCCGGAAGGAGAAGAGTAAGAGCAAGAAATTGAAAACTTATTTGAACAAATAATGAAGGAAAACTTCCCCAGTCTGGCAAAGGAAATAGGCTTCCAGGAAGCCCAGAGAGTCCCAAAGAAGTTGGACCCAAAGAAGAACACACCAAGGCACATCATCATTAAGTTACCCAAGATTAAAGATAAAGAGAGAATCTTAAAAGCAGCAAGAGGAAAGGGAAGAGTTATCTACAAAGGAGTTCCCATAAGGCTATCAGCAGATTTCTAAAAAAAAAAAAACACCTTACAGGCAAGAAGAAGCTGGAAAGAAGTACCGTATTTGAAATCATGAAAGGCAAGGACCTACATCCAAGAATACTCTATCCAGCAAAACTATCATTTAGAATGGAAGGGCAGATAAAGTGCTTCCCAGATAAGGTCAAGTTAAAGGAGTTCATCATCACCGACCCATTATTATATGAAATGTTAAAGGGACTTATCTAAGAAAAAGAAGATAAAAAAAATAAGAACAGTAAAATGACAGCAAACACAACTATCAACAAATGAACCTAAAAAAAACAAGAAAGAAAATAATGAAAACAAAAACTAAGCAAACAACTAGAATGAAAGAAATGGACATGATATGGAGGGTTTTCAGTGGGGAGGAGGAAGAGAGGAATAGTGGGGAAAAGGTACAGAGAAGAAGCATAATTGGTAGGCATTAAATAGATGGAGAGAAGTCAAAAATGGTATAGGAAACAGAACTCAAAGAACTTACGGATATGAACAAAGTGAGGGATCTAGGGGGGAAAATTGGGAAACTGTAGTAGCATAATCAATAAAATATACTTAAAAATAAATACATTATTAAACCA